AATCTCGTTGATTGGGAAACGTTAAGGCAGCGTCCATACTTAGCGGCAGCGTCCACCAGTGTTTGCCAGCGTCCAGGAGTAGAGAGTATGAGAAAGTACGAGGGTAACAGACAGCTGGATTAGGCGTCGTGAAATTGAGGAAATCGTGCAACCGTACCGTACAACGGCTGAAGCACAGAATTATGCAATTTGATGTACGGTGTAGTGCAGTTGTACGGTGCGGTTGCACACGCCGCAATTTCACGACGCCTAATCCAGCTGTTTGCTACCCTCCTACTTCCCATACCCCACCCTGGACGCTGGTGGACGCTAGATTGATATCTACGCTTTCCTAGCCGCTGGTGGGCTGCCGCAAAGTATGAACGCAGCCTTGAGTAGTGGTTCTCGCTGAAACTGCGCAGGGCCAGAGGGCTGAGATTGTCTCCGCGCCAACCCGTTTCCCACCAGTTATCGTCGATTGTTCGCCTCAACAATCGGTGAAAAACGAGCGTGCCGCGCCAAATCCACCCTCGCCGACACGCCCCAGCGCCTTCAGCGCAAGATTGCTTTTCGGGGTAAGACTGAAAAGCATAACTCACCGCTCAATTTCAGGAGCGCACCGGGTGAACTCGTACTTCCAGAAGTTGTAGACGGGATTTTTGATTAGTTCGATGAACGTGATGAGCAAACCCCACGGATGTGGACGCAAAGCTACCAATCGTTCGAAGAGAATGCGTGTGATTTGTTCCTGAATGAGAGCGTTGAAGAATAATTTCGACTATGGTTTGGTTTCAAGTTGGGGAGGGGGGGGGGGGGACCGAAAAAAGGGAAGTTAAACGTCCCAGCTTAGAGGATATGCATGGCTGCGCCAAGGTTGTTGGGTTGGGTCACACTTGGCCAAGACAAGAACAGGACTACAAGCCTTAACTTACAGGGAAAGGATTTTGTATTTTCATTGTCATTAAAGACGCTCGGCACTTCTTGGATGGGAGGGGTCATGAAACCGACGTCATTGACACACCCCTTCTTGGCTCCCTTCTACATCGCCACAGGAGGCAGGCAGAAGAACTGTACAATGACGCTGTCTGCCTCCTGGCTCCGCCCAACTGTCAATACTGTACGGTGTCATCACGTCAACATAATCTAGTGCATACTGGAGTGTTAAAGTTGGTTTTCGCGCTTAAAAGCCAACGATTCCAGTACGAAATGCCAAAAACTTTATCACTCTTTATACAGTTAGAGGTCACCGCGCGACGCCGCGCACCTTTACGCGTGCGACGTTCGCATCATCGATATCAATGTATCGCGCGGGGATCTGTTGAGGTGCATAAACGATAAAATGTCTCGACGATAGCGCAAGAGGGGGGGGGGGAAGGGAAGGGGGAATCCCGAATCAATTGTAATGGATAAAGAGGTCATTACACGACGTCGAACAGCCGCACACTGCCGTGCGACGTCGCGCGGTGACCGCTTTGTTCTTCGAATTCATGCGGCCTATCCAAAAAATGACTTCTACTCTGGTCCCTTGTTCGAAGCACTTCAGTTCTTTCAGTTGAGGGGGACTTCTTGGACAGCAATAAGAGCAAAATTCTTCAAAATTATCCGAATAATTTTTCAATGCAACTAACCTGTATCGCATCATGATCCGAGTTCAAGAACAAAAACAAGAACACACAACTAAAGTAGTGAGTATGCGCATTTGGATAACGAAGCTGATTCGCGATTGCATTGAAAAGCAGATATCGGCCTGAAAAGAAGCCATTCGTAACCACAATTGGTTTCCTTTGAGATAAAAATCAATAAAAAATGATGGGGAAAGGTAGTAGATAGGGAGGGGTTCACAAAACGGCACTATATGTCACGCCATGAGCAACTGCTTGTCTGCGCCCTCTCTAAGAAAGGTGGCGTAAGCACTTTCCCTTCCTTACATGGCGAAATTTTGGGGAAAGTGTGGGGCGGGGCTGGAAAGGAGGGAGGGCGTGACTAGCCGTGAAAGCGCATC